GAAGCTGCAGCCGCCTGAGGCTCTTAACAGAGCGCTCAGGCGGCTGCAGCATTTAAAGGGCCGGCCCTGCAGCGGCCGGTCATAACAGAATGTAGGGCGGCCTGGGGGGCAATTGCCTCCCTGCCCCCCGGCCCAGCCCACCCCTGGTGTGAAGTATTTGTGTTTAAGTGAAGGGGTGTGTTTGTATATGTTTTTGAAGTTTGAATGCAGGGGTGTGTTTGTAATATTTGTGTTAGATTGCAGGAGTGTGTTTGTATGTTGTACTGGTGTTTGATTACATGGAGTATTGACATACACTACCACATACATACATACACAGATATGCATGCACATTAACACACAGATACATATAAATATACCGACACATACACACAAATTTTCACATACACACTGACACATACACACACCTTAACACATGCATACATGTTTAAAGAAACAGTCCATTCACAATAACCACTACAGCCCACTAGAAGCAATTCTCTTAATTGAAGTGTCCGTTAGTCCAGAAAAGGTTGGGAACCAGTTCTCTAGATAAACCTGTAAACCTCTTAGAGCACCTTCCCATGATATTAATCATCCATCCAATAATGGCTATAAACTGATAAATTCTAGATGCTTATATTAACCCCTTCAGCCAGTGGTGTATCCTGGTTTTATGCTGCCCTAGGTATGACAAAACTCAGGAGCCTCCCACCCGCCCTGCCGCCCCCCTTCTCCCGCCATCCCCCCTTCCCCGCCTTCTAAATACACACATTCACTGACAGACACGCATACACTAGCTAACAGACATACACACACTTACTAACAGACACATACATTCACTAACAGACACGCATACACTCTCACTAACAGACACAAACTAACAGACACGCACACTAACAGACATATATTCACGCATACACTAGCTAACAGACATACACACACTTACTAACAGACACATACATTCACTAACAGACACACTCACTCACTAACAGACACACACACACACTCACTCACTAACAGACACACACACACATTCAATAACAGACACACACACTCACTAACAGACACACCCACATTAACACCCTCACATTTATTTTTTAAATTCAATCCCCCAGCCTTCTTACCTTTGGGAATGCTGGGGGGATTCTCCTTTTCCTTGGGGTCCAGTGGGGCTGCTGGGCGGCCGGCCGTTGACTGCAGGCAGCGAGGGAGCACTGATCCTCCTGTTCAGCTCCCTCCCGCGCCGCAGAGTGATGCCGGGAGCTGGAATATGACGTCATATTCCGGCTCCCGGCATCACTCTGCGGCGCGCGAGAGAGCTCACAAATCAGTGCTCCATCGCCTGCGCTGCCCATCTGCCTGGATTGTCAGTTAGCCGCCAGTCTAACAAGACATTTGTCTGGAAAGTGCCGCCCAAGGCAAATGCCTTGTTTGCCTCGCGGCTAATACGTCCCTGCCTTCAGCACAGATGGCAAGTCAGCTGTCACAATATCAATAGACAGGGCCGATCCTGGGGTCACTGCCTGGGTGCAAGAATATTTTTGGTGCCCCCCCAGTGGGTGTGACTATATTGCTAACCTATCCCCTTTACAAACATAACACTTCTAACCACACCCAATTTCTATGGAAACCACACACCCTCAACCCAGGACACATCACCGACTCCCTACAGTGCCAGCTATGCTCCCAAAAAGCTTATTAGTGCCATATTTGTGCCCAGCTTCCCAGTGCTGCCTGCCCACATACAGCTTCCCAGTGACATCTTTGTCTCAAAATAGCTAATCAGTGCCATCTCTCTGTCCCAATATATATTATATAATTAGTGCCACTTTTGTGTCCAAATAGCCATTTTTGTGCCCAAATCGCTGACCAGTGTCATTGTTGTCTCAAAATTACTAATCAGTGACATTTCTTTTTCCAAACAGCTTACCGGTGCCATCTTATCAGCTGGTAGTGTTTTTGTATGAACTGTGTGTAAGCTGGGTGTATTTTGCAGAGAGTCAATGTATTTGTAATGCAGAAATGTATTTACAGATGTGTGAATTCAAATAAATATTTGTGTATAATAGTAATGTGTGCAGATGCAGTTATTGAATATTTGTATGGAATGTATTTGTAAATGAAAGACTATTTGGAAGACGCGTGTGTATGTTTGTATGTATGAGTATGTATGACATTACTGTGTGTGCCCGCATTGTTGTTTTTAGCAGTATGTTTGTTTATTTTTCTGAATGTACCTGTGTGACTTATCTCACCATTCCACTTTTCTTTTTCCACCTTTGACTCTATCCCATCCCCAGGGGTATTGCTCTGTGGACTAGGGAATTCAGCCCAAAAATAAATTTGATAACCCCTCCTATAGTTGACATTAAGCTTGCCCAATAATCCACCTCAGCTGCACCGTAAAATAATTTTTTAAATCCTCCCCACCCCCACTCCTCACCAAAAGCATGCACACCAAAACACGACCACATCCATTATGCTATGCAGTGTGTGTAGTGAATAGTGTCTGAGTGTGTGCTGGGGATGCAGTGTGTGTCTGCTTCTGTGCAGGGAATGCAGTGTGTCTCTATGTGTGTGCAGGGAATGTAGTGTGTCTCTGTGTGTGTGCAGGGAATGCAGGGTGTGTCAGTGTGCTGGGGATGTGGTGTGTGTGTGCACAGGATGCAGTGTGTTTTACATTTTTAATGTTAATCGAAGCCCCATGGAGTCTAATCTATTTCTACCACCAATTCCTATGTGTGTCTCTTTTTCCCCCTCACTTCTGTGTGTCTCACCCCCCAGCCTCTCTGTGTGTCTGTTCATCCCCGCAGCCTTACTGTGTGCCTCTTTGTCTCTCCCATCCCCTTTGTGTGTCTCTTTCTCCCCCAGCCAATTTGTGCATCTGTTTGTCCCCCAACTCCTTTGTGTGCCCTCCTTTCCCCCTTCCCCAGCCCCTCTGTGTCTCTTTGCCCCTCAAGTGCTTTTTGTCCCACCAGCTATTCTGTGTGTCTATGTACCCCCCAGACCCTTTGTGTGTGTCTCTATGTGCCCTCCAGCCCCTCTGTGTGTGTCTCTATGTCCCCTTATGTAGCCCCCTCCTCTTTTGGCCTCTTCCCTCCTGTGCCCTTATGTAACCCCCTCCTGTGCCATCTTTAGCCCCTACCCTACCTGGGCCCTTATGTAACCCCCTTTCTGTGCCGTGTGTAAGAATATTAAATAGTTAACTTGTTTATATGTATTTTATGCTTTTATAAGGTTTATAACATGATTATTGCTGACTGAAGGGATATTGAATACTTAAAGTCAATATACGACAATCATATGCTGACTGTGACAGACTAAGGTATTTCTTCTATAGGATGTAAGACAATGCTAAATTTCAGGATGTCTTGCCCATTCCGATTTTAAGGATATTCTTTTCCAGACGTATGCAAAAGCTTATCTTTCCATTGTCAGAATAACGTAATACAAGGAAGTAATAAATCTTATAGTCTGTACTGTATTTGCATATACCATGGCTAATGTAAGCAAACTATGTATAAAAGCCAGCTCTGGAATACACTCATTTGAGAGTCTTGTAAAGCTGTTGTCCGTGTGTTATTGCTTACAAATGATTCTCCATCAACGTTGATTATGGTGACCGAGGGATCGAGAACCGAGGGGATTAGAGTCCATTACAACATTAACCCTTTCAGCTTGGTGTCTAGAAGTGGGATAGATAGAAGTTGGATCAGCAAAACCATTGCGGTGAGTAGCCTTTTTGTGTCTTATTTGACGCTGATTGTCTATGACCCCAGTTTGGTTCAGTAAGACTGTATCCAGTAGATAGGAAAGGTGTAAGGACTCTAGTTATATTGAGACTATAAGAGGTCTCCGGTTTATTAGACATTTGGTCTAAATATATAGGGTTTTGGTAACCCAGGTTAGTATCTAAGATAGATACAGGGTATCTCAGGTAGATACAGGTTTTGAGACCATAAGAGGTCTCCGGTTTATTAAGTCTATAGGTGTTCTGAGCAGCATGGTTTGTAGATTTATAAGTATAACCCAAACTTCTCTTTCTCCCGGTCACCTTTGTTTGTCTTAAGTGTTTTTTGTGGGTGATTGTTTGTCTATATTGGGGACACACTTTGGTAAGTTAGTAGTGTCCCCACTCTGAGTCAGCAGTATGGGAAATGTGAGTTCATGTCCTGAGTGACCAATATATGTATGTATATATGTGTATATGTATATATATGTGTGTGTATATGTATATGTGTATATATAAGATAGCAGTACTTTTAAACAAATGGAGGTTTTAAAAATACATAGGGATTAAGGAGAGAACGCAGGTAACTTGTTTTTCTTTGGTTTTTACCATATATTGGGGCTGATGTGTACTGTAGTCCTTGCTGCTGTCCAGTAGTGATGGGAGTGAGCGTAGGACTTATCTTTCTGCAAGATAGCAGTACTGTATATTAGAAAAGAAATGACTCACAGGTTGTACCTGATAGACCTACTTAAATCTTTTTGCTTTATTCTTTCTGTCGCATAGAAGTATAAGTTTATTACTCTGTTTTATTGTAAGTTATTTCACATGGGATCTATGTGCCTGGTATGATTGTTGCTTTAAAAATACTATAAGCCCACTACACTTTCTATGAGAGTGGGATAGTGTAAATGTGTTGCATTGTTTGCATGATGAGCTCAGTATATTTTATAACTGAGACAAAAAGTCACTTCATTAGTATTTGAAAGTTAATTCCCCATATGGGATTAATTGTATAGAAACACCAATCAGCACATCTTCCCTGCCCTGTGTGTTTGTTGCAAAGGATCCATACTAAATATGATTTATGTTTGAAAATAACAGAGCAACATTTACATTTTCAGCGGTCCAACACATGCTTTATTTTGCACTGTAAACTAACCTTTTTATTGCAACAGATTCTTTTAAATGATCCAGTGTAATAACTACTGCTTGTGTCTTCTATGTCTCACATTATGTGTTCTTTTAAATTGTGGTATATAGCCTGGATCAGAAATCATGGACAAAGGTTTTTTACCTGTGTTACTAAGGGCTCTTGGAGACTGACCGGTCTAAAGGTTTGCCATGCCTTTAAAACATGGTATAGTATAAATTTTTTAAGTCTCTGAGAGTTCTGAAAGATTCTGGTGAAACCATGTCTGTTTAATCTGGTCCAGATGTTTGTTCAATTTCTGTAAGATTTAAGTTGATGCAGCATCATCTCAGATTAGTTAATGGTAGTTTTATACAAATAGTTGAGTTATGAGCGCGCTATATAAATGGATCCTTTCTTTAAATACAATACTATAGTAGATTAAAGTAATGAAGTTAATTAAGAAAATGTACACATAAGAATCCCTAAAATAAATCTAAACTAAAATTGGTATACCTTCCAATAATATGTTCTGAATACAGCTGTTAACTGTTTATTCTGTGTAAATGGTGACTGTGATAATGTGTGATAAGTGTGCAGTTTAACTTGAAAGTAGTTTAATTTATATGTTGCTGTATTGTTTTAAATTATATGTGAATCAGTTTGTCACAGTCTAGTGATACTGATAAGAATGACAACCAAATAACCTAGCAAATAACTGTTTTATTAGTTGTTGAATACTAGCGTTTTGGCCAAGAATAGTTGGAGATTTGGAGGTGTTAGTTTAAGATTGCTTTTATATTGTGTCTATCCGTGTTTCCTAGGAGGGAGACAGAGTGTGTAGTTGTGTGCCCATAAATGTGATTTCTGTATTGGCATATCTGCTGGGTACCCATTATGTGTTTCTACAAAGATATTGTTTTATGAGATGACTAATATTACATGGGATGCTGAGTATGAGTTATATGGTTTGAAATGAATTGGTGATTATGAGCTTAGTACTTCAGTAAGATGTGCTAAAATTTGGAACAAGGTGGAAGCTGAAATGTTGGGATTATGGAAGAATAGGCAGTCTATATTCACTGCTTTGGCATATAAGCAAGATGCAAAGGAAGAGATTGGTAATATGATTTTTGTAAAGAAATTTTACAAGTGTTGGAAGGATGAGGCAGGTTTGATGTCTGGAGATGATATAGATATCTTTAAAATACAATCATGCCTTGGTAATATGTTGCCACAGTATTCTTTGCTTGTGAAACAATTGATTTCAGACTGGGACAATTTGGATAGCTCAGATTTTCTTACCAAGGTTATAGAAAAGGAAAATGCAGGTTGTTCTGAATTAAGAAAAGATTTAGGAAAGTAAGGTTGCTTATTATGCTCAGGGATTGCCACCTACACAGGCTGAGAGCGAGGATGGGATGGAGCACATAAAGCCCGTGGAAGGGGTGGTCAAAGAGGGGCAAGGGGATGGAGACAGGGAAATCAGGGTTATAGGGGCAAGGGTAACCAAGGAGGAATAGACAGGAACACTTGTTTCAACTGTGGCCAATATGGCCACTGGAGGAATGAGTGTCCACACCCCAGGAAACCCCAGGAAACCCCACACACCCCAACAACCCCACCTTTCTCAAAATATGCCCTGTAGGCAAGAACAACACCAGACCCACTCCCAACACCACTGGCCAGCATATTGCTTAGTTCAGGACTTTAGAGCCCTGAATAGTTTAATTGTGCCCATTTCACCCATTGTCCCTGATGTGACATCCCTCATTACAGCCATTCCACATGATGCCACTTGCTTCACTGTCATTGATTTAAGTAATGCATTTTTTTCTATACCTATTGATCAAGAGACACAGCTACTTATGGTTTTTACTTTTTGAAGGCTGTCAGTTTACCTGGACACACTTACCCAAGGCTATGTGGATTCCCCAGCTGTTTATTCGTTGGTACTCCAACATACTCTAAACAACATGGACCACCGGTCATGGTTCTGTCCTTTTTGCAAAATGTTGATGATTTGTTGTTATGTAGCCCTAGCTATGAGGCAAGCACTGTGGATACTGTCAGCAACTGTAGGTCACAAGGTTGTTAAACACAAAATGCAATTGTGTAAATCAAAGGTTGAATACTTAGGTTTTGTTCTGGCTTCAGGCACCAGACAATTGAGTCCAAAACGTATTGAGGTCATTCAGAGGATTCCTACACCCACTACTCGGAAGGAGTTGCTCACCTTCCTCGGCATGATTAATTACTGCCACCAATGGATCCCTGAATGCTCCCATTATAACTCAATCCTAAGGGAGGCTGTACGTTCTGACAGCCCTGAAAATGTCTGCTGGTCACCAGACATGCTAGCTGCATATATTGCCCTTACAGTTGTTATTGTGCAAGCCCAGGCTTTAGGACTACCTGTGTATTGTAAACCATTTCATTTGTATGCTTGGGACAATTGTAAAACCATGGCCAGAGTCTGTGCACAAGAGCAAGGAGGCGGTATGCGTCCCATAGCATTCTTTTCCAAAGTAGTTCGAGCTCCGGTAAAGGGTATGCCGGCGTGTCTCAGAGCATTGATAGCATGTGCAATGGCTGTTGAAACTGCTACTACTATCACACTAGGGCATCCTACAATACTTCATGCCAGTCACCAGGTCACTCAGCTGATGACAAATCTCACCACACAACACATGACAGCCCAGCGCTTCAGTGGTTATGAGATTTTTTTTTTTTTTTTTTTAAATACCCAGAATCTGTCTTTTGGATTAAACAAGGTTTAGAGAAAGATCAAAATGATCTGTTCTCTAAAGAGGGGAGAATAGGCATACTTGAAGAATAGGCATACTTGAAGCAAGCTGATTTATTTTCATCAGTCAGGCACATAGCAAGCACCATTCAATTCTTCATGAATTCATTTTATATTAGGAATCTCAGGCAGCATGTACAGTCTTTTGTAAGATCGTGTGAACACTGCTCTTTTTACACACTTACAGATTGATTTTATTCATGTAATTGGTAAGAAACAGCAATACTTACTGGTCATAGTTAATCAGTTTAGTAGATGGCATGAGGCCTTTGTGATATCTAGGGAAGATGCTAGTGAAGATTATTGTTACTGAAATTATTCCCAGGTATGGCTGCCCTCTGCAGATTGGCTCTGATAATGGCCCGGTATTTGCAAGTAGGGTTGCCCAGGAACTTGCTAAATTCTTGCAAGTTACCTGGCAGTTTCATATACCCTATCATCCACAGAATACAGGGGTAGTTGAAAGGATGAATAGGACTATTAAGGAAAAGCCCAGAATTTACCCAGGAACATGGGTAAATTGGACTAGATATCTACCAGCTATTTTAGCTGAGATAAGAGTGATTCCTCACAAGGTGACTAAATTATCTCCATTTGAGATTTTGATGGGATGACCTTTTCCCACACCCTGGGCCAGGGAACCGCTTGTTATAATGTCTGTGGATTTTACAGCTAATACAAGAACAATATGTACAGGAGTTGTTGATAAAACTGAATGGTATGTATGACAATGTTTCTTCGCAGTTTTCCCTTACCTTCACAGGAACCTACTCATTCATACCAGCCCGGTGACAAGGTGTATATCCGTCAGCTGAACAGGACCAAGAAAGGAGGATACCCTTTTGGACCACCTGCTACTGTGATTGCTGTACCCAGAACCGCTGTCCTCACAGATTCCCATGACATCTGGATTCACGCATCCCGAGTGAAGCTGTGTCCAAAGAGGGGAACCAAGGAAGACAACACCACTCCTCGCTCGGAAACAGAAGAATTTCTCCTCAGCGAAGCATCATGGCTTTTACACCATATCGTAGATTGAGAGGATCATACGTACCTGAGACCAAGATTATGTTGTGCGCTATGCTTTCTGGAGTTGTTATACTCCCTCTGATATTGTTCCTTGAATGCCATTATGAGTACAAGTCAATGGCAAGTTCTGGAAAAAGACTCTGACATGATGAACAATTCTTCAATACCCCCAGCCCAATTAGGCCTTAGCCCCTCATCTAGCATTCGTCACACACGCCCCCTCAAGAACCTTTCTCCACCACCTTTCTATCAGCATGTAATATGCAATCATTCATTCACTGAACGCATTTGGATGAATTGGACAAATAGTAACCCTTATAAGTACCAGTTACCCATATGAAATGTGTCTACAGCTAATGAAACCGATGCATTATGTTTGTTTGAAGGTTCACAGAAAATTGTTAGATCTTATAACGCAGAAATGTGCACAGTTAAGGTTGCATATCAATGTAAACAGACAGGCCTTATTACTTTTAATAATGATTATATAACTGGTATCATTAATTGGAAAAGGGGACAAATGTTAGTCATTATGAACGACACTACAATTGAGAACTATACACTACCTTATATTTTTACACCTTATTACTGTCCTTTATCCTCTACCATAGAACCAAAAGTCAACAACGACACACACACACACACCTATTCCGTCCACATGTATTAATACAACTGCCTTCTTACAAGCTGTACATGTGTCATTAAAAATCACTACTCCTGTTGTAACATTATGTAACACAACAAACAAAAGGCAGAAAAGGGAATGGTATGACACACTGTTAGATGGTGCTGGAACCACTATGAGTATACTAAATAGTTATAGATATGGAGACCCTCAAGAATAAGTTAAACACAGCCAGTATGCATATAGGGACTGGTTTCCATGCTACTGCAAACTGGGCTCCAATTGTTGTTAAATCACAGGTTATAGGATTGGATTTAGATAAATCAATGTATAATTATTTAGATAATTTAACTGTTGCAACTATGAAATTCACTACAGGTCTAAGTAACTGGAGTACTTGTGCCATCAGGTATTTATGGATACAACAACAAGGATTGGCATTAGAAAACACACTAATGATTCCTAAACTAGAGAAGATTAGAGGAAAGCGTAACCTCACAGATAATGAATGGTTACTTCTAAAACCCCAATCCACTAAATGCAATAGATGGTTAACTGGTAATGTTTCACATTTTTCATGCTCATGCTATTTTACATTATATCATACATCATCAAAGGATGTTAAATTAGCTTGTCAATTTAACACATTACCAGTACCAGTTTATGATCTTTTTGCCAAGAATTTAACCTGGTGGGCACCCACATACACAGGGGACTATATTTTCCCAAAGATAACACACACAGGTAGCCACACATATCCTAAAAGGAGAACTCCTTAAGGTGAGTTCACAAATTCAGAATGATTTAGCCCATCATTGGTACAATGCTTTACTGGTTGGTCCCCTACTGGATCCCAGATAATGAAATCATTCTTCTATCATTTTGTTATTATAGTCCTGATTTTATTGTGTATGATTTTATATAACTGTCACCTTAGTTGTACATTGAGGAAGTGAGTACAGAAATGAATCCATAATGCAGAACAGAAACAATTAGAAATTCTCCTCTCTGCCACTGGAGGGTATCAACCCATCTTTAAACTGGGCCTTAGGAATTACCACATGGGAATCGAGGTGAAGAAATTAATGAAAGTCCCGCAGGGAGTGACTAGCACCCCTGAAAATACCATGTGGAAGTTTCTCTGTCCTGGTAAGATTTTATCGATAAGATGAGCAATTGTTTTATTGCTCAAAGAGGGGAATGTAAGAATATTAAATAGTTAACTTGTTTATATGTATTTTATGCTTTTATAAGGTTTATAACATGATTATTGCTGACTGAAGGAATATTGAATACTTACATAATATGCTGACTGTGACAGACTAAAGTATTTCTTCTATAGGATGTAAGACAATGCTAAATTTCAGGATGTCTTGCCCATTCCGATTTTAAGGATATTCTTTTCCAGACGTATGCAAAAGCTTATCTTTCCATTGTCAGAATATCGTAATACAAGGAAGTAATAAATCTTATAGTCTGTACTGTATTTGCATATACCATGGCTAATGTAAGCAAACTATGTATAAAAGCCAGCTCTGGAATACACTCATTTGAGAGTCTTGTAAAGCTGTTGTCCGTGTGTTATTGCTTACAAATGATTCTCCATCAACGTTGATTATGGTGACCGAGGGATCGAGAACCGAGGGGATTAGAGTCCATTACAACATTAACCCTTTCAGCGGGGGGTGCATGAGTTTTGACATGCCTAGGGCAGTACATATCTAAAATACACCACTGCCAGTAACCACCAGTATTGAAGCCTTCTGATTATTTATGCTGTCTCAGCCACATTGGCATATCTGTTCTAACATGCACTGCAAAAATAAGGAGTTATAAAAAAATTTTTTTTAAAAACCTTGGGATTAGTTTTGCTCTCTTTGATTATCATTTTTTCATTTTGAAGTTTATTGAATCTAATTGCCTTTTTGCATTCAAAGGCTTTGAATGCCCTTTTCTTATTTTTAATCTCTTAATTCACTTTCCCACTAAGCCACATTGGTTTCAATTTGCTACTTTTATATTTTTTACCCAATGGTACATACTGAGTAATGTACTTTTCTAATATTTGTTGGAAGATATTCCATTTATCCTCAGTGTTTTTTTCACTAAAGAGTTTATGCCAATCAATATATTGTAAAGTTCCCCTTAACTTATTATTTGGCCATTTTAAAATTATTTGTTTTATTATACCCCATGTGCTTTTGTTTTTTTTAGTTTATTTCAAAGGACACTATATTGTGATCACTATTTCCCAAGTGCTCACCTACTTGAATGTTTGTCAAAAGATCAACGTTGTTTGTTAGAACCAGGCTTGTTTGTTAGAACTAGAACAATTCACACCCATCAGTTTAGGCACACTAAAACTGATTTTTTATAATATAATGCAAGTAGAAGTTACTATGATAAAAATTAATAGTAAAAACAGGAATACAGTGGTGCTGTGAGCAGCGGGTATCCAGTGTCTAACATCTTACAGAGACCCAGACTTCCTCCGATCTGGCCAGCAGGAGGGAGTTATAAAGATCTTCTGGTCTGCAGTATATTGACCTGATACTTCAAGCTATACATTTGGAAGCTTCAGAGAGTGCAAGTTTGATTCTATCTATTTTTTACTGACCGTGTCTATCTTTAATAAATGTTAATAGAAAGTACCCTGTCTCTGTCATAATGTGCTGCACGGATTTTACTCTGTGTCAAATTGATACATACACTGTATCATTCATGATTTATGTACTGGTTTTCTCATATAAAATGGTATTAGATTGATACTATATTATTATTTTTAGCTTTGCCAGATTTATCTTCTACTTATACCATAGTAGGTAAATAGAGGGGTTGGTGGAATATCAGTACTTGCAATTGTAGTATGTGGCTGCTGAAACTTCCCAAAAACCAGAGTCTCTTCTTTTCTGGTGGTACTATGGCTGTGGATAGTAGGATCAGGGAGCAGCACCTATGAAGGAATTCCCACGCTCAGAGCAATATGGAGGAGGGAAGGAAAAAGACACGGATATAGTGTAGCATGTTGAGATCTTAAGTGACGTAAATGAAGGGAAAGGAATTGCACTTCCAATTTTCTGGAGCCTATACTCAGCTCCAGATATGTGCCCCTGGACGGTACAATCCCCACCTATGGATATGTAGATGATCCTTGGATGTCCTCAAAAGGATTAGGGTATTAGGGTATATCTCCTTTCCAATGGCAGTAGGCCGGTATTCAAACAGTTGGTGATATATACAAAAAGGATAAAAACACAAAATAGTGCTCTCTGGATAATACAAAATAAAATGATAAAAAATGGAGGTATACTCACAAGTGAAGAGCAAATAGGATATTGCTCAATATATGTAGGCGTAGGTGGTATGATCCCCAACAAGGATATCACTCCTTGAGTCCTCCAGGAATTATATTATTTAAAAAATAAAATAAAATAGAATAAAAGGATAGGCTTAGAGGCTCCAATAGCATAAATGGGCTATCTTTATTGGAGATAAAAAAAAACGATAACATAAAACAGCTTTAAAAAACACTAACGAAAATTGCAAAGTGCAATTCCCATCACTTAAGATCTCAACATACTACACTATATCTGTGTATTTTTCCTTCCCTTCTCCATATCGCTCTGAGCGTGGGAATTCCTTCATAGGCGCTGCTCCCTGATCCTACTATCTACATCCATAGTAGGTAATTAGTCTGAAATCAAGCTGATACAATGTTATGTTATTAATTGACCACTAATATTTCCAGTTTTATTTAGTTCTTATTAATGTCCCATTTAGTATGCAGTTTTGATGTTTAGGACATATCTTTTTGGATTTTACTTGTGCATGAGCATCTAGTTTTCATATCCCCCAGTTTCACCATTTAGTACATCTCAGCTTTGTCATTTTCCCCACTTCTATTCTATCTCCATTGTATTCCTGTTTTTACTATTGATTTTCATCATAGTAACTTTCACTTGCATTTTCTTATTTATAGCTTCAGGTGGTAGCTATTTTTTCAGTGAGTCAGTGGTTATAGTAGTCCATTTCAAGTCTTTACCCTATTTTATAGGGTTTTTCAGGTGTTTTTCAGGTGTTATCCTGCTCATTAGTGTGTATACTATTCTATTGATTCTTTATAATGATGGTAAGTTTGTACATTAAACGCAGCCATGCTACCAACTCATTGCCCCCACCATTCATTCAATTCATTTCCCCCAACCACACTCCCCAGTTAATTGCCCCCAGACATCCCCAGCTTTTATTTGTCTCTAAATACCCCCTTGACAGGCAGGACACAGGTTTCATGTAGAAGGACGGACAGACTGTCTGAGACAGACAGAAGAGAGAGGGGCGGGGAGGGCTGTTAATCGATTAATGCTTTTTGGTTTTCACTTGACTACAATTTAAAGTTTAGTGAATAAACTGTAAGTCCTATCTGCAGTTATGGTATTGACACATGCTTTCTGTATTTTTCCTGGGTTCTTGGGTATCGTGTTCTCTTTCTGTTTGCAGGACAGATTGTCCATGTATTAGAAGAGCTTGTTTCCAATGAGTAAATGGATTGTGGATCAAGTATCATACCATCCTACTATCACTTATTCTATAATAGGGGAATTAGCACATGACATACCAGAGGGGACATCATTTGAGCAGCAGCAATCAGCAAGTTTAACAAAGCAAGAAACATGAAAGTCATTTTTGTCATTTTCGTTTCCTGCTGCTTCTTCCACACAGGTATATTACTAATATAAAACCAAAACTGAATAATTCAGCTATTAAAATTGCAGCTGATAGATGTATCTATTGTTATAGTTGGTTAATATATTGTTATATTTTTTTTTCAACACAGTAGTGCTGCATTGTAAATTTGGGCATACTGATACAAAAGTAAAACAGTGCGACAGACCATTATAATTGTGGATGGATGGATGGATGGATGGATGGATGCATGAAAGAAGAGTCTGGTTCAGTTTAGTGAATCAGGCTGTGTGCAGCAAATGGTGGAACATGCATGTATGGAGCTTGCCACTCATTTTCCCGAAGAAAAAAATACCAGTGCTTGATAAAAGGGCACTCTCTTCATCATAAACTTTGAAAAAAGAGAGACATTTTAAATAATAACTCAAATTTATGTTATGTTTAAAGCTGCCATGTTCAGTGTTCCAAAAGATGGCTTGTTTTGTGGGATCAATCTAACATACACTGAAACTGATCAAATACATACATTTTCCTTCACAGGGATTTCCGGGTGCTCAGGTAAGATATAATTACTAATTGTTAATTATATTTTTCAATGCTAAATTACAGAATTAGAAGGATTTTTTTTCCCCTTTAAAATTGTAATTACAATAATTTATATAGTGCCAATATAGAATGCAGTGCTATACAATAGGTATAGCAAGACAAACAATTACTGCTAACAAAATATGTTTTACTACAATGCATACATACCTGCAGTTATAAAGAGGTACATATCTACATTTTCACACAAAAAGTATCTTATACGAGTATATAAAGGGGTAACCTGTCTTATATGAGTATAAAAAGACCATGTGGGGTCAAAACGTTGCTGTTTTTGCCCCAATAAAGCTGCTATTTTTGTTATTCCGGAGTGCCTGAACCATTATTTATTCTGCATATTTTGAAAGGGAGGCCTGGCCAGCCCTGGCTTCAGAGCACCTGGGTCACTTGGTGAGTGCGGTATCCAGTACATCTCTACTATAAATATTAGCCAGGCACTATTCCATTCCCATTCTCAGGATAAAGGGAAGATTTGCAGATTAGGAAAAAGAAGAGAGTCCATCCATTTTCTAAGGGTTTTCTGTTAAAGTGGCCTTTCGAGTGATTTGAACAACAATTGACATTTAAGTAAATTGCATTTTGTTTGTCATCAAACAAAAAGAATACATATTTAGCAAATTAATATTTACACATAACTGTAATTCGCATATTTATGACAGTAATAAAGCCTATGTATAATGTATGTTACAGTAACTTGAATTTCTGGTTCACCTAATGTGAATTTCTTGTACTTTAATTTCAGCACCACAGGGTGAGTGTCATTCTTCAGTGACCTTGAGAGAATGCAGAAATCTACCTGTTATCATGGAAGTGGTGAATTGTCTTAATAAGAGAATATCATATAACATTGTTGAAAGAATTTGAGACTGAATAACTAGGATTAATTCAGATAAGATTTATTTTATTAGCTGAAGCCTACATAATGCATACAAAACTGACGATAGTGTTGACCATTTGGCTACAGGTTGGATTGTGTATATATAAGTTTATTTGTAACCCAAACTTGCTTTAGACATACATGGGTTTGGTTGTATGATACCACTTATTAGTTTATCATTGTGTTGACTGCATTTAACAATTAGGCAGTCTAATCAGTTTCTCAATTAAAAACACTTTTCCATTACAAGTTAAAGGGACACTATAGTCACCAAAACAACAATAGCTTAATGAAACAGTTTTGCTATATAGATCATGAAGACTGCATTAAAAGTCATGTTTAAGTGTTTGCAGATGACACCAAACTTTGTAAAACAATACAATGTGAGCAAGATATTACCTTGCTGCAGAGGGATTTAGATAGACTGGGGGACTGGGCACTCAAATGGCAGATGAAATTTAATGTTGAAAAATGCAAAGTTATGCACTTCGGCGTAAAGAATACACAAGAACGTATACCCTTAATGGAAGCGAATTAGGGATAACAACACATGAAAAGGACTTGGGAATTGTTATAGACAACAAACTATGCAACAATGTGCAATGTCAATCAGCAGTGGCCAAGGCCAGTAAGGTATTGTCATGCATGAAAAGGGCATTCATTCTCGGGACAAGAATATAATTTTGCCTCTTTATAAATCACTGGTAAGACCCCATATTGAATATGCTGTGCAATTTTGGGCACCTGTTCTAAAGAAGGATATTATGGCACTAGAAAAAGTGCAGAGGCGGGCTACAAAACTAATAAAAGGAATGGAACATATCGGCTATGAAGAAAGGTTAACAAATTTAAACCTATTTAGTTTAGAAAAACGTCGCCTGAGAGGGGATATGATAACATTATACAAATATATTCGGGGCCAATACAAACCACTGTGTGGAAATCTATTCACAAACCGGACTTTACATAGGACACGAGGCCATGCGTTTAGACTGGAAGAAAGAAGATTTCGTCTAAGGCAAAGGAAAGGTTTTTTTACTGTAAGAACAATCAGGATGTGGAATTCTCTACCTGAAGAAGTGGTTTTATCAGAGTCCATACAGATGTTCAAACGGCTACTAGATGCATACTTGCAAGAACAGAATATTCAAGGATATAATCTTTCAATGTAGGGTAATAACTGCTTGATCCAAGGATAAATCTGACTGCCATTCTGGGGTCAAGAAGGAATTTTTTCCTAGCTTGTTGCAAAATTGTGCTTCAAACTGGGTTTTTTTGCCTTCTTTTGGATCAACAGCAAAAAACAAATGTGAGGTAGGCTGAACTTGATGGACGCAAGTCTCTTTTCAGCTATGTAACTATGTCCCTGCAGTCTCACTGCTCAATTCTCTGCCATTTAGGAGTTAAATCACTTTGTTTATGAACCATAGACACCTCCCTGAATGTGACTTGCACAGCCTTCATAAACACTTACTGTAAAAAGTAATCTGATGTTTATCCTTCCTTTATTACAAGTTCTGTTTAATTTAGATTTTCTTATCCCATGCTATGTTAATAGCTTGCTAGAGCCTGCAAGAGTCTCTTGTATGTGATTTAAGTAAAATTTTCAGAGCAAGAGATAATATTGTTTAAGGTAAATTACATCTGATTGAAAGTGAAAACTGTTTTTTTCATGCAGGCTGTGTCAACCATAGCCAGGGGAGGTGTGGCAATTGCTGCATAAACAGAAACAAAGTGATTTAACTCCTAAATGGCAGTGAATTGAGCAGCGAAACCTGAGAGGCATGATCTGCACACTAAAACTGCTTCATTGGGGGGCGGGGCCTGACAGCCAAGATGGCTAGACGTGTTTGTCACAAGCTCCTGCTACACTAAACTAAACTGCCTGAAAAACTAAGGCAAACCTGGAGAAAACCGACCCTAGGCAACCAGAAGGTCACCCTAAACACCCTTGACTACTCCCTAAGCTTGAATCTGGGTGACCCGACGGCAGCACACAGTGCTACAGCTTGCGGCCTATTACGGTCGACGACCTGGGTGTTGGGGGAGGCGGCCGATCTCCCAACCCCGGGCTCCAAGATGCCACAGGAATCTGCACAGCCCTGTTTCCCCCCCTTGGACCGGCGGGGGATATCCCGGTCCCTACAGGGTGCAACCTCACCTCAGCAGGGCCAACAAGTCGGAGCAAAAACCCTGGAGCCACATGGCCTCCAAAGATGGCGGATGACAAGCACCCCTCACGAGCACATACAAATCCAAGGAGTGATCGGGAGATTGAGCCCATCGAGGCCTCCTTTGAAAAGTTCTGGCAAGCATTCTGGCTCCACCTGAAACTCCGGGCACACCGGCTACCCACTCATGCGAAACACGAACAACCGGCAAAGAAGGCTGCGGTACTGCTATACAGGCGCAAGGCCTGCTCCACGCGGAAGTCAGCCCGACGCCCACAAGCCCAGAGAAGCCCCCGACTAACTGGGGCCCGACCCCGGCGACACTCAAGAACACCTCTCCGAGTACCAGCCTCACAGCAAAAGCAGGAATCTCCCCAGCAACACCGCTCTCAAAGACTGGACCCAGCTGGAAACTGGGAGCGATCTGCACCACAGCTCAAGAGAGGTCACCCACACTCCCACGCCTCACACCTGCAAAAGGACTTACCTCTAGGGGCACCATGGAGGCCTTTTGACCAGGCACACACGAAGCTCCACACTCAGCCCCGACATCGGGCCAACGACGCCCCCGGGCAGGTCACCCCCAAGATGGACAGGTCTGTACACCCTGTGGGCATAGGCTGAGGGGGATGAATTAAACGGCTTACGGTGCTGGGCCCCAGCCTATACGTTAGGCACCCTCAGGGACGTTATTACAGATGACAACCTACATCCCAGACACCTAGCTCGCAACATGTGTCCCTGCTGAACTGTGATCAACATACCATACCCTGCATTGCGCACTCTACCTGCTAGTACATACACTCAGCAAGCTTAATCAGTGACTAGCGGTCTTTTGTAGCATATATTCTCATGCCTTGTATATCTTTACGTGCCAGAATATGAATAGAGATGAGCATTGTGCAGTCCCAATGGCGTTATTTACCTTAACTTTACACAACATGCAGACACCCACGCCATGGGACAGTCGAACAGGATACTACATAGCAGCCTGTGTCATACCTGGTCAACACATACCATAGTCCTGAAACACGAATACATGATCGCACACCATACTGACACTAACGTAATTAATACACAATTGTTAAGCGTTAATCGTTCTCACTTGTTTTAATTATTTTTACGCTGCAAGTATAATCGTCTACTTAAGCTGGTTAAAATTATAAAAATGTGCAAATTCTTATGCCACTATATAATGTATGTTAACTCTGCAATACGCTGTTGTGGCGTCTGTTGATCTCTTGTACCATCCTGCACAACAAAAATAAAGAAATCAAAAAAAAAAAACTGCTTCATTAAGCTAAAGTTGTTTAGGTAACTATAATGTCCCTTTAAATGAGTTGTTTTAACAATCAGGTTTTAATTAGATATTTTTGTGGTGACCACATAAGCAGCACTATGACATTGAGATGTAGTGCTAAAACTCATAGGCGTGCGCAGCCTATTGCATTAGGGTGTGCACCCTAAAGCACAAACACACGCCGCATGTATATGTATGTGTGTGTGTATATATATATATATGCACACACACATACATACACTGCTGTGTGTGTGTTTGCTGCATGAGGGTGGTTTGAGGGTGTTGTGTGTCTAAGGGTGCGGTGTGTGTGTTTGTGTGTGTGTAAGGGTGCTGTGTGAGGGTGCTGTTTGTGTGCTGTGTGTGTGAGGGTGTTTGTGTGTGTGTGTGTGTGTGTTTGTTTGTTTGTTAGGGTCCTGTTAGTGTGCTGTGTGTGTGAGGGTGATGTGTGTGTGTTTGTGAGGCTGCTCTTTGTGTGCTATGTGTGAGAGGGTGCTGTATGTGCGAAGGTGCTGTTTGTTTGTGTGTGGGTGCTGTGTGTGAGGGTGCTGTGTGTGTGTGTGTGTGGGTGCTGTGTGTGTGTGTGTGTGGGTGCTGTATCTGTGTGTGTGTGGTGTATGTGTGTGGTGTATGTGTGTGGTGTATGTGTGTGAGGGTGCTGTATGTGTGTGGTGTATGTGTGTGTGTGTGTGCTGTGCATGTGTGGGTGCTGTATGTGTGTGTGTGTGTGTGTGTGTGTGTGCTGTGTGTGTGTGGGTGCTGTATGTGTGTGGGTGCTGTATGTGTGTGCTGTATGTGTGAAGGTGCTGTGTGTGTGTGTGTGCTGTATGTGGGTGCTGTATGTGTGTGGGTGCTGTATGTGTGTGCTGTGTGTGTGGGGGTGCTGTATGTGCTGTATGTGTGTGGGTGCTGTGTGTATGTTTGTGCTGTGTGTGTGTGTGTGTTCTGTGTGTGGTTGCTGTGTGTCTGGCTGTATGTGTGTAGGTGCTGTGTGTGTGCTGTATGTGTGTGGGTGATTGTGGGGGTGGAGATGGGGGTACATTACTTAATATCCCCCGATCCCTTCTTACCTTATGTAGGGAGGGGGGATCGTGCTGCTGCTTTCCCTGGTGGTCCAGTGGAGAGTGAACTCTAGCCCCTATGGGGCAGCAATGCTCAGATTTTACGAGAGGAACCCGGCGGAGCTGCTGGTTGAGGTCCCAGGGTCCTCTCCTGCCTCCCTCCCTGCTGCAATGGGGAGGGAGGCTGAGAGCAGAGCCGGCACTCGAATAGCGCTGGCTCTGCATGAGCCGACAGGGTAGATCTCCCCTGCCGGTCTCACTCCATAGGCGTGCCGCGGGGATTAGGGTTTGCCCAGGCACACCCGGCACACCCCGTGCGCACGCCTATGCTAAAACTGTGGACTGTAATAGTAATTCTTAGCACGATTTTAAACTCATTTATTACTTTGAGGTTGGTGAAATAAATACCATTACATTGGGTAAAAATAGCATCCCTTAATTATCTGCTAATTCAGTTAAACAGCCTCTTCCTGAGCTATTTATGTTTCTGAGAATTGAAAAGCACAATGTAAAAATAAATCATTAAACTGAATATTCATATATTAATCCTAGTGTTCAAATATGTCTATGAGTTTAGAAATTATCTAGAATGATCAACTACATTCTATTCAAGAACCCTGATGTTCACTATGCTGTCTTACTAGGTTTACATAAGTAAATAAATAAACTAGAATTAAGAAAAAAACTTTTATTTATATATATATATATATATATATTTTTGTGTTATAGAAAGCCGTAATGACAGTATATATATCTTATATAACTTATACCGTATGATAGCGTACAAAAATATAAACAGTTGGTTGTGGTGTGCCAAAACAGATGATGCAGTAGGCATGTAATAAAGAGGGCCCACCCTGGGTATTGTTGTTATCAAGGGGAGCGGTGGGAGGGATAAATCGCCAGAACCATCAATGGTAATGAGGAGGGGTCTGGCGATCCTTAAGTAGGGAAATCATGCTCCTCCCACAACTACAGGCCCAGCCTTCCATTTGTGTTCAGGGCATGGAAAGCTGTAATGACAGGATATATTTTATATAACTTATACCTTATGATAACATGCAAAAAATATAAATAGTCGGTTGTGGTGTGCCGAAACCGATGATGCGGTAGGCCTGTAATAAAGAGGGCAAAAAAAGTATACCTTGCAAGATTTTATTCAGCCTACAATGGCATTCATATAGCATATATCACATATTCATGTTACAAAATGCTTTACATATTTCCTGTATTGGATGAGGTATGTATCTGGTATAAGTTGATGAATTCCACCGTCCCAATGTCTTGATAATATGTACCGGTATGTTTCTGCTGGAAGCAGTGGTGGCTACTCCAATGTGGAAGGAGTGTCCTGAGTAGTGGGATAGATTAAGACCTAACTTAGTCAGCAATACTCTAATATACAGCATGCATTTACTGGTAGTGAGAGCCTTACCATGTAATGTGAACAGAAGTTGGTTTGGAGACCCTGGAATAGTGTTTAGGAAGTTATCTAGGACTTGTACTGGGCACCATTTGTTGCTGGTAGGTTAATAAGGTATCTTTACCAGCTGGTTCACTGGTGTGGCTTTTGTATGTTTGAGGGACAATATGTAGTGGTCCTGTATTTTCACAATTTGGGGTCTTTTAATGCCATCTTGGGAAGTGATGTTAGTGGTGCTAAACTCTTGGGGTCTAAAGAACCCATAGAAAGCTAAGTAGATAGTGGTTTTAGTGACATTATTGGTGTGTGATTCGAAAGGGGTTGTACCCATGAAGTCTGATAATGATTTGAAGAGTTGACTATGAATGGGTGATCTAGAAGATGTTGGCATGGATTTTGAGTTTTTAATGCCTTTAAGTATGGTTTGATTTGGTGAGAAAATAGAAAACTGTGGTTGTTTGGCCAAAGTGTAAGTATATGGTGTTGTATCCCTGTTAGATATAATATGATGGTGTTGTATGATAATTTGAATTTATGGTGGCAAAAAGAAGTGAAGGCTACAATAGTTTCCATTGAATATTTATTTACAACCTAAAAAGTCCAACAAGAATTTGTTATAAACATGAAAAGCCCTGTCATATGACTTCCTAGTATTATCAGACAAAGCTAGCCGTGAAAGGAGTCTGCCATGCATTAACAGATCTCCAAATTCAATGTCATGTCCTGCCATGATGGAGCCGGTGTAGCCACTAGGGCTGCTGTTGGTAATGCATTGTGGAATTCCTGAAATTGAGAGCGAGATAAATGATCAGCTGCTACGTTCTGAATGCCAGGAATATGCACACATACCAGGAAGAAATTATAGTTGGCTGCAAGCCAAGTCAATTTCCTCAGAAAGCTCATGATGGTCAGAGATTTAGAACAACCTTTGTTAATTATTTGGCAGGTTGCTAAACTGTCCGAACAACCTCTCACCGCTTGACCTGACCAAGCTGTTCCCCAAGCTACTGCAGTAACTATGATAGGGTAGAGCTCGAACAGGGCAGACGTGGTGAAAAAACCTGGTACATTATATGCTTCCATAGGCCAAGCCCCCCAAAGCCATATTTCCCCAAAAATAGCTGCAAAGCCTGTGGTGGCCGCTACATCGGTGAAAATAGTGAGGGAGTCAGAGATAACTAAAGGGATAAACATGCTTTTTCCATTCCATTTTCTGAGAAATTCCTGCCACATGCGTAAATGCGCTGTAGCAGGCCCGTCTAGTGTAATGCGGGAAATATCCAACTGAAAGCAGGGAAACAGATTGAGCAGTCTAGATATAAAAGCCCTGCCCTGTGGGATAATTTTCATGGCAAAGTTGAGGGAGCCTAGTAAAGACTGTAGTTCTGAACAATTACAGGATTCAGCAGAGAGATATAAGTTGATGTTAGATAGGATGCACTCAAACTTATCTCTAGGCAAACTGACAAGCATGTTGACCGAATCTAGCGTGACACCAAGAAAATGAATCAATGTGTCGGGTACTTCTGTCTTTTTAGGGGAAATGGAGACCCCTAGGTATTGGAATAGCTGGATTGTGGTTCTTAGGCTACTAGGTGGGAATAAGTTACTCTCAATAGTCAGGAAGTCGTCCAAATAGTGAATGACTGTGGGGCATCTATTAAGCAGTAGCCAGCATAACATCTTGGCGAAGGTATCAAAAATCCTGGGGCTACTCTTTGCACCAAAAGTGAGATGAGTAAAAAAGTAATAAGAACCTTGCCTCTTAATGCCATGTAGATGCCACAAAGAAGGGTGTATTGGGAGGAGCTTGAAGGTGTTAATGATGTCAGTCTTAATTAGC